GCCCCTTGAGTGTGGCTCTTCCACAAAATACCGACTTCTGCGCATGGGCCATGAAGTTTCAATCGCACTGTACCTGCGCGCCCGCACGTGGTATTTTGTGGAAGAGCCACACTCAAGGGGCCAAAGAGCCGCATGTGGCTTGAGAGCCGCAGTTTGCCAACCACGATAGGCCCCAAGGGCCTTCTTTGACTTTCTAAATAAACTTTCTCTTAGCGTTTGCAAAAAATAATAAATGGTGCCAGGCCCTGGCCAGTGTTGCTCAAAGGACAGAGCATCAGCCCGTGGACTGAAAGGTCCCAGGTTCGACTCCAGTCAAGGGCACGTACCTCATCACTGGCTCGATCCCCAGCCCATTCGGGTCATGTGCAGAGGCAACTAATCAATGTTTCTCTCTCTCTCTGTCTCTCCCCCGCCCTTCCACTCTCTGAAAATCAGTGGGAGAATGTCCTTGGGTGAGGATTAACTGAAAGAAGAAAGAAAGAGAGAGAGAGAGAGAGAGAGAGGGAAAGAAAGAAAGAAAGAAAGAAAGAAAAGAAAGAAAGAAAGAAAGAAAGAAAGAAAAGGAAAAAGGCCCCACAACAGTAATAGAACTTTGCTGTTTTCTGGGGATTGTCTTCTCTTACATTTTTCTTTTTGAAAAAAAAATTTTTTTATTGATTTGGGCCAGAGCATTAAGGCATTTTCTTTTTATTTACTTTTTAAATATATTTCTATTGATTTCAGAGAGGAAGGAAGAAGGAGAGAGAGATAGAAACATCAATGATGAGAGAGAATTGTTGATGGGCTGCCTCCTGCACGCCCCACACTGAGGCGTGAGCCCGCAACCTGGGAATCGAACCGTGACCTCCTGGGTCATAGGTCAATCACTGAGCCACGCCGGCCGGGCTGAAGGCCTTTTCTTACATTTTATTCTAGAGAAGTAATTGTCCTGTCGTTTGCATTTAGGTTTATGATCATTTTGAGCTGCCATTTGTTTGTCTGATATGTTGTGAGGCAGGTGTCAAAGGTCACTCCGTGTAGTCGGGAGCCGTTTTCCATTATGTCCACACCCAGGTCGCAGTTCAAGTCTGGTCAGTGGGGGCACATGCCTGGGTCGTGGGCTGGGGCCACGGTGGGGGCCATGCAGGAGGCAGCCGATCAATGATTCTCTCTCATCGTCGATGTTTCTATGTCTCTCTCTCCCTCTCCCTCTGCTTCCTTCTCTGAGATCAATACAAATATTTAAAAAAAATACAAGAGGGAGGCAGAAGCGAGGACTCTGAGCCACGCCGGCCAGGCCGCGAGCTGCCTTTGGGAGCTGGACAAGGCAAGAGCACGAACTCTGCCCTAGAGCCTCCAGAAGAGAAGGCAGCCCGGGGACACCTCGGTGTCAGCCAGCGAGACCTGTGTCCTACTTGTGACCCGCAGCGCCGTGGGACGACACGTCGGCGGGCTTTTCCGCCTCTCCGCGCGTGAGGCTGTTACAGAAGCAGATAACTCCCAGGCCCCCACGGAGCTGCCGTGGCCCTGCGCCCTGTGGGCCGCTACCCTGCTGCTTGGCCTTTTTGTTTATACTCAGAGCCCATCCCAGGCGCCCCAGGCCCGTGGCTTTCTGATTGTCTTGGCATACGGTGCTGGCTGACCTCCAGGTGCTGCTGCTGCTGCTGCTGCTTCAAGTTTGTTGGGGGAGTTTCTGATGGTCTTTGATGAACAGATGTTCTTAATTCTGGTACAATTTGTCAATCTTTCCTTTGACAGCTGATGTGTTGTTGTTTTTCTACTCTCCTTTTAGAGCAGTGGTTCTCAACCTTGGCTGCACATTAGAGTCACCTGGGAATCTTCTTAAAATCCTGATTTCTGGGCCTCATCCTCCGGAAATTCTGTTTCTTTGTTATAACTAGTGATGCATCTATAAGGAACTCACATCCCATCTCTGGGCCTTAGCTTTCTCTCTGTGCCCTGAGAGAGTTGTGTGGCCCTGCTATTAGTGGTCTAGTTACAGGGGTGGGCAAACTTTTTGACTCGAGGGCCACAATGGGTTCTTAAACTGGACCGGAGGGCCGCAACAAAAGCATGGATGGAGTGTTTGTGTGAACTAATATAAATTCAAAGTAAACATCATTACATAAAAGGGTACGGTCTTTTTTTTTTTAGTTTTATTCATTTCAAATGGGCCGGATCCGGCCCGTGGGCCCGTAGTTTGCCCACGGCTGGTTTTAGAGAAATCTTCCCTGGCCAAAGGTCAGAAGGGCATTCCTGCCCGGCTGGCGGGGCTCAGTGGTTGAGTGTTGACCTATGAACCAGGAGGTCACGGTTAGATTCCCGGTCAGGGCACATGCCCAGGTTGCAGGCTCCATCCCTCGTGTGGGGCGTGCAGGAAGCAGCCGATCCATGATTCTCTCTCATCATTGATGTTTCTCTCTCTCTCTTCCTCTCCCTTCCTCTCTGAAATCAATAAAAAAGAAAAAAAAGAGAAGGGTATTCACTCATATCTTCTGCAAAAAGAGTAAAAGATTTTCTTTTACTATTTAAGACCTGTTCTGTCTACAGTTCCCAGGAGACTGGCATGCTATGGGAGGTACAGCCTAGCTTCAATTTTTAAAAAAAAAAAATATTTTTTTTATTGATTTCAGAGAGAAAGGGAGAGGGAGAGAGGTAGAAACATCAATGATGAGAGAAAATCATTGATTGGCTGGCCCCTGCACCCCTTACTGGGGATGGAGCCCGCAACCCAGGCACGTGCCCTTGATTGGAATCGAACCTGGGACCCTTCAGTCCGCAGGCCGACGCTCTGTCCACTGAGCCACACCGGTCAGGGCCCAGCTTCAGTTTTTACCCTGCACAAAGCCCCGCACTTCCCGGGCCTCCGCATTCAGGAGTCTTTCCTTCCCCGATCTGTGTGCCTCTCTGTCATCATGTGTGCGTCCGGCCTGGACTCTGTCTTCTCTTTCTTAGCTGCTCCTGTACCAGGACCCCACTCCCGGTCCCTCCGGCCGGAGGCACAGGCTCCCTGAAGCTGGAGGTCCCTGCTGAGGCCCTGGCCAGTCAGTGGGTTCACATGGCCCTCTTTGGGGTGAAGTTTGCACAAGTGGGGTGTTCTGACTGTGATTGGCGAGGACCACTGTCTCCTTCCTCGCTGCCGGCCCCTCTGGTTGGCAGCCCACCAGGCCGGATCCTGCTGGGGCTCCCGGAACGTCCGGGTGTCCGAGTCAGCATTTTTGTCAGCTCTGGGTAAACTCTGGCCATTATTTTGGCAAATATTGTTTTTCTATCCGGTTCCTACCTTTCTCTCTCAGGCTTCAACACACATGTTCACCCGTTAAATCTTGTCTGTCAGGTGCCTGAGACGATCACTTCCACAGTTTCCTCCCTGTTCTTCGGACCGGATGACCCCTGTGGGTAAATTCATCGACTCTCTCTCCCGTCACCTTCCATCTTCTTCCAAGCCCTTCCCCTGATTCTGTCATGTGTGTACTTTTCATTTCTAGAATTTTTATTTTATTCTTTAAAAAAATAAGATATATACTTTTTTTTAAAATATATTTTATTGATTTTTTTACAGAGAGGAAGGGAGAGGGATAGAGAGTTAGAAACATCGATGAGAGAGAAGCATCGATCAGCTGCCTCCTGCACAACCCCTACTGGGGATGTGCCTGCAACCAAGGTACATGCCCCCGACCGGAACCGAACCTGGGACCTTTCAGTCCCCAGGCCTACGCTCTATCCACTGAGCCAAACCAGCCAGGGCGATATATACTTTTTATTGCCCTAGCCAGTTTGGCTCAGCGGATAGAGCGTCGGCCTGGGGACTGTAGGGTCCCAGGTTCGATTCTGGTCAAGGTCAAGTACCTTGGCTGCAGGCTCCTCCCCGCCCTGGTGGGGGCTCCTGCAGGAGGCCACCTATTGATGTGTTTCTCTCACATCGGTGTTTCTCTCTGTCTTTCCCCCTCTCTCCCACTCTCTCTAAAAATCAATGGAAAAATATCCTTCAGTGAGGATTTTAAAAAATATGCATATATATTCTTGATTTTTCAGAGAGGAAGGCAGAAGGAGAGAGAGATAGAAACATCAATTATGAGAGATTGGCTGCCTCCTGCACACCCCACACAGGGAATTGAGCCCGAACCCCAGGCTTGTGCCCTGACCAGGAACGGAACCGTGACCAACCACTGAGCCACACAGCCGGGCCAGGTTTGCTTGTTAAAGGAGACGCTTGTGTGTCTGCGGGGAACGGTGAGCTCTGGCCACGCCGGGGATGGAGTCCGTGGCGATGGACAGTGTTAGTTTCTTCGTTTTGACACAGCTGCTCGACGTGTAAGGAGCTGACACCAGGGGAGACAGGGGGAGGGACCTCTGTGAGCTTCCAAGCTTTCCTGTGAACGTGAAATGATTCCAATAAAAAGAATGAAGAGGACCCCCTGGCTTGGGGAGTGAAGGGGGAGGGGAGGGGAGGGCCGGCTTCCTGTGCCCTGTGGCTGCTGCCAGGCGGCTGTCTCCGGTCAGGCCCCGGCTGGGGTGGCGGAGCTGGTTATCAGCCCAGAGCGGACGGGGTCCCAGTGCTCCCCATGCTTTCCAGCGCTTCCAGCGTGCGGCCGGCCCAGGGCTCAGAAAGGACTATTTTAAAAAGATCTCAGAGAGGAAGGGAGAGGGAGAGAGAGATAGAAACAGCAATGATGAGAGAGACTCATCAGCTGTATCATTTTTTGTTCGTTTATGTAAATAAAAGCACATGCTGACACATTCCTCCCCCCAACCCTGCAGGTCTGTATTTTGCTTCTCACTTGGCCTCATGCTCTGACGACCTTCACAGCAGCACGCAACACGCAGCTCGCCCTCGCTCTCGCTCTCGCTCAGAGCTGCCTGGTGTCCCAGCAGCCCGGGCGCAATAACCCAGGCCCTCCCACCCTCTGCCCTGCGGGCTCTGCCCCGGGAGCCATGGAATATGTAGGTCGCTGTGCAGGTGGCGGGTGTGACCGAGTTACCGAGCTGGGGCTGCGGGCCAGGTCCCTGTGTCTCCCTACCTGTGGGGACAAGACAGATCTCTCCTCGATGCTGCCGCTTCCACACCCACCTCAGGTGCAGCACCTGCTCCCAGGCCCGGCCCAGTGCCGCTGGCCTGCGGACGGTGTGCCCATCTGCGGGGGGAGAAATGGAGTGTTAGTCTCAGTTGCATTCCTGTTGTTGGGAACGACGAAGAGCCACTGGACTGTGTTCTGGGAGGAACGATCCGGACCTCTTGTCCAACATCCACCCGAACACCCAGCACCGGCTTTGGGAGGCGCCTGGTAAGACCGCATCTCGCACCGCCCTCCCCTCCCCTCCGCCTCGGTGGCTCCCTCTGGAGGAGGAGGAAGCGCACAGCACGGGAGACCCGCTGAGGCCGGCTTATCTGCTCCTGTTTGGTGGCTGAGCGGTGGCCCAGGGGGCTTGGCCGATGCCAGCGTGAGCTAGTCAGGCTGAGCCAGGGTGATCCTAGGGGCGCCGTCTCAGCACCCGGGCCCCTCCCCGCCCAGGCCGGCGTCCCTCTCCTCTGAGCGGGGTCCCGTGGGCGGCCTGCCAGGCCGTGAAGACCCTGGAGCCTTGGTGTGGCTCCAACCTCGGCCCCTGTGCTCACAACCACCTTTGTCGCAGCCACAGGCCCCTGGTCTCCTCGGGGACCTCGCCCAGGGCGCAGGCTGCCTCCGCTGGCGGAAGCGGGTGGCTGAGGGTTGGAAATACACAGACATTTCTAATGGAAGCAAAATGGGGCAACGGCGTCACGGCCATCCGGGATTGAGCTCAGGTGAGGCAGGGCGGGCGCTGTGCCCGTGTCATGGCAGCCACAGCAGCCTGACGGCAGGGGGGCGGCCTGGCTGTGGGGGGCCTGCGAGGAGCCCAGGCTGTCGGCTTCATCCCTGGGCAGGAGCAGAGGCTCTGGCCCAGCTGGTTCTGCGAACACCCCGAGGGCGGGCACCTAGCAGCTCCCAGAGCCACCTGAGCATAATTACTTAATCACACACCAGGAGTATTTGAGTATTTAAACACACCCACGCCAGTGAGCCTGCGAGCTGGTGCCTTTCTGGATTTTAATTTCCTGCAATTTTCATAATTAGAAAAAGAAGTGTTACTTTAGCACAAAACAACGTTTCTTTAGCCAAAGCCTGAGTGCGTGGGCAGCGATGGCCGCGAGCCCTGCCCTGGGTGGTCCCCGACCTGGGGCAGTCCCCCGAGGAAGGGTGGGGGCCGGATGGCGCCTGTCTTCTCTGCCCTGGGTCCTCGGGCATCGCTTCCTTCCTTCCGAGGGAACCGGGAGCTCCCTGAGCCCGGCCGCCACCGGCGTGGAGTCGGGAGGCAGGGGAAAGAGCTGC